TGAAGACAGTAGATTAATGAATATCAAAAATGGTGGCATAGGGGCTGGGGAGTTGGCTCAGTAGGATAAGTGCTTCCCTGGCAAGCACAAGGGTCTGAGTTCAATCCCAAGTTCTGAAAAATAAAAATGGTGGAATGAAAGTGCAAGGTTTTGAACTTTGTTAAATTGCATTTTTACCATTTATCAAGACAAGAATGCATGAGTTCTTACTGAGCCAAATAACTGCTATGGAAGGTAGCCAAATGTGAGTTATCTTGGAAGTGTGCCAACCAGTAGGGCTGACTGCTTGCAGCAAGAAGAGTGGAATGTGGAATGTGCTGCTGGGAGGTGATAGTTAAGAGGAGATAATAAGACATTGGCCAGAAAATACCTCGTTCATGTGGAAATAATGTAGGATGCAGGATCCCAAGGAAACTTCAAGGAATTTCAGGTTCATTTCAAGAAGGCAAACTCTCAGAGGCTTGCCACCAATAATTATAATATATTAGTCAGTAACATGAAACTTTATTCTTTGGTTTCCTTTACCCTCATCCTTGATAGCTAGAAGTAAACAACTAGAGTAGGGGAGAAAACTGGAAGTGAACGTGCAGGAACTGGGAAGAAACAGTGCGCTCCATATAGCTGCACAGCTTTAAGACAAAGACCAGGCTTAAATGGGTGGCAAAGGAGGGAAATAACACCTTCGCTGTGACACTGAAGGTTTGTTTCAGCTTGATGATTTTTTTAGAAAACTGTGCATGGAATATATTAAAGTATTTATCAACAATGCTTTAGCTGTCTATTTTTTAATTGTTGAATTTTATTAGTGCATATTATATAATGATCACATTCATCATAGGGAATTTGTACCTGCACATAACTTAATTCTTTTTTTCCATTCTCCTCTCCTCCTTTCAACCCCTTTCCCCTCATCATCTATAAAAGCTTTGTTTTTGGAATTTTTCTTCCATTGTGTTTTCTTTAATCCCGTTTTTCTTCTTATCCTTCCCCTCACCACTCCCATGTTCCCATTTGAACATATTCTTCCTACTTACCAAAGTCTGTCCTACATTTTGCCTCTAATAAATAGCTGTCTATTAAATTATAAACTACATGTTTGTATATTGTGGATCTAATGCATGGCACACAGTAACTGAAAATCTGTGGAATCCTCAAGTGTACTGTAAGCCCAGGGAAGACACAGGCAACTAAAGATGCTTAATTACAGTGATTGGAGAAACAGAACCACTGCTTACTTAGGCCCTCTGGATCTTAACCCATTCAGTAGACTGCCTGTGTATGCAAACGTCATGTGCATGTATGCATACACATATAGTGTAGATAAATATATACTGTAAACTTTTATTTCATTGGCAGCCCACCTATACCAAAATAATAGACCATTTAAGAACAGAGAATCTTTTATTCATAGGGTCCTTTATGAAATTTCTAATATAAACCCCTATTCCATACAAGAGTCTTTTCTACTAATGTATCAACAGAGAGCAATAACAACAGAAATAACAAGAAGAGTTTCAGTGCCTGCCATGTACAAAAACTGATCTAAATGATTTATATAGGTAATAGCACATCTCATCATCGTATCATTTTAAAGTTCATAGGTAATGATGTTCTCACTTCAGCGTATTTAGCATGAGGAAATATGCTTAACAAGGCTAAGTGGAGTGATGGCCTCAAAACTTTAATCCAGTCCTATCTATATTTCAAAATAAATCTTTATGTAGTTATTTTTAATTGCTAAGAATTTTAGAGAACTTCAGAAAAGGGTGCCTGCTCCCTTACAGAAATTTCATTTTTAAATTTCATGTCCTATTATTATTATATCCTCCAATATATTAAAACTATTTTCTATAAAACTTTATTCATGGATTCTGCTTCAAGTCTACTTTATGTTCTACAGGCCTAATGTGGAAGAACTTATTTAATCAATGAGGATTTATTGAGCATCTAGTCTAAACCATGTATTGTTCTAGGTACTGAAGTTGATACAATGAAAGTGATAAAGTTCCTGCCTACATGGAATATATACCCTATTGATCATCTTTCCACAGTTCTCCTCTGTTTATTTTAATCAACATGAGTTTCTTTTCTTCTCAGTGCAAATTCCTGAAAGAATTTTACATGTCTTATAGTATATAGTAAGATACAATAAACATATACAAATGTATTTATAATCATGCTTGTAAAAGGAAAACTCTAAGATGGTAAATAAATTGTAATGAATAGATCATATAGACTAATAAACTGATTCCTTAGAGTGTGCAAAGACTTGGGTTTTGTCCTTACTATCACAAAAAAATTATGCTGGAATACATTTTTAATGCCACAGATAAAGGCACATAGTATAGAATTGTAAAAAAGTTTAATTTCAGTTCTCTGTGTATTCATGTGTGTGGGTGTGTTCACAAATGCCAGTAAGAAAATGACATGTCAAAATCTTAACAGTAGTTATCTACTAGATGCATATTATGGTTTTCTATCTTTCCTATAACAAGTACATCTTATTTTTAAAGTGGAGTATGTATGTGTGCGTACCCTGTATGCTGTGTGCTGTGTTGCAGTGGGCCCTGGCGCAATTGTCCAGTTAGCATAGTGAAGCATCTGGTCAGAGACTGCAGTGTTCTTAAATTAAATGAGTATTTGTATGTTTGTGTGTGTGTGTGTGTATATATATATATATATATATATATATATATATATATATCAGCAAGTGTATGGTCAATTCTTTATTCTCCATGACTCATTTTTCATTTCACTTTTGTTTCTCATTGTCATCCAGATGAGTCAAATCTCACGGTCAGTTGAGAGCCAACTGTGTTTAATAATAGCTAAGAAAAGTATGTGTAGGAAGATAAACCTGCTGTAGCAAAAGAACAGCCACTGTGAGTTCTGAGCCAAGTATAAAATCATGTTTGATTGTACCATTTTTTTAGTTTATCTGAGTTCCTAATTGCCTGTTTATAACAAGATCACTGATCAGTGACCATTTAGCGATAGTTTTGACTGTTCATGCAGAATCAAAATAACTTCATAGAGTGAATAACAAATTTATAAAAACCCAAGCTCCCATTTTAAAAATGAATGACTACGCTTTCCATAGCAATGGACAGTTCGAGGCTAAATGTCTTATGCTTTGACATTATCTACTCAAAATTTGTCACTAGTACTTTGGCTGTCTATTAAATTATAAGATATATGTTTGTGCATCCTGAAGCCTAATGGCATGCATGCAGTGATGGCCCTACCTAACAGCTAGAGAGAATAAGCAAATGAACCTGTTTGGGAGGAGGCATCGAGTGGGTTAGAATTTCTATTCAGTAAAATTCATCTGTGATTATGTAGCTGAAAAAAGCTTTTAGTATTTCTGACCTCTTTATTCCAGTAGATATATGACACATGTACATTATACTACTTGCTATTTTATACATGTACAAATATAAGAGATCTCAATTTGTTTTTCTGTAGGCATACAAAATCTAATGTTTACATTTCAAGGCATAGGATTTCATAAATTATATAACTATTTTACCAGTATATAGTCTTCCTCTATTATATCCAAGACCTCCTTCATATTGTCATCTTATATCCCAAACATAAGAGACAATGTGGAACATGATCTAACACCTCTCATCATGTAAAAAGCAGCACAAATGAACATAAGATCAAGCAAGAAAAGATATGAGATTACATCTCAATTATTTTCTGGAACTGGATTTTGGAGATAATGCTCAACTAGTGTAAAGCAGTGTACACTGAATGCTAAATTAAACTGACATTAGAGGCATAAAAAGAAAAAAAGAAAAATCAAGGTCATTTGTAGAAATTAAAACAATTTTTGAAGTTTATCACAAAGAAATGATAAATGAGGAGATAAGTTTAACCTGATTCAAATACATAGAATGGATACATATAATGAAACATGATACAGTATGCCACTGTTTGGTACAATTTTTATGTTTTTATGTATCAGCTAAAGCAAATTTTTAAAAAATTAGGAAAGATAAAAGGCTTAAAAGCTAAAAATAAATTGAACTCATTTTCTAAGAAAATTGAAGTCAGTGGCTCAATACACTCTTGAAAGAGGAAGCACATGCAAGCACATTTCTGGAGTCCTAGGCCATTTCACAAGCATGACATTTATCGGTAGTTATTTAATCAATATTTATACATGTAGAGAGGTTGTGCCACATAAAAATGGATGCAGAGCCATTTATGGATCATTATTTGAGATGCTTCAACTTATCTATGTATTCTTAATATTCATCCCATACTTGTGTATCCACCTGCTATATTTCTGCAATGATGATCTGGAGTGACTACAGTTTTGTCTCCAGGTAACTGTGTTATTAAAAAATAATAACATATCAGCCACTAAAGTAAGACACAGTACAGCAAAATAAGGTGCACAGCAGAAAATATACATATACCTGATTTGATACACCCTTATATTTTGTATTCATTTCACATACATGGCTATTGTGTATTCATTTCATAAACATGAATAATATTCATTTCATATATATATATATATATATATATATATTCATTAGTATGTGTTTCCTGCATGAATTTCCAGGAAATTCCTAATTTAAACATTTATTAGTGTAAATGGATTCACTAATGATATGAACCACAGCATCCTCACCAATAAATAGCCTATATTATATCAGTCTTGATCTGATTCCTGTGAACTTCATGGCTTATAAACATCTGAGGTCAAAAGCACTTCAGGGCTTCTCAGAATTGCTGAGCAATGTTTCTATTACTCAATTCCTTTTTTCTCTCAATCCTGATTCCTTTGTATCCTAACTGATTTTGAAGGCCCCCTATGTCCTCAAAGCCCTGCTGCTTTCAAACTTAGCTTGTTATTCTCTTACTGCACTCACATTTCTAACAGTGCCATAGGTTGGCAAAACTTCTCTCTCCGAAGAATTCTCTCATCCATGAATCCTTTGACAAACATGTCAGGTCATTTATTGTCCAGTGAGAAGATTTCTTACCTTTGGCAGAGATGCCCTGGAACCTGAACTCTGGGTGGTCATCGTTAAGACTGTGGTGATGCCCAGCGCAACCCTAGCAGGGGCTGCATCCATGTTTATCCAAAAAGAGACCCAGGACAAAATGACTATCAACAGGCTGGGAATGTACATCTGGATCAAATAATATCCCATTTGGCGTTCCAGGTGAAACTTGACCTCAATGCAGGTAAACTTTCCTGGAAACAGCAAATTATCATTTAAAGTTTAATTTGAATCCATTAGTTCTACCATCTTATTTTTTTAAAATTAAGCGTGCTAAAGATAGATTGAGAATATTACACAAAACTCTCACCCTATATAAACATTTCAACCTGTAATGGAGATAACAGTGTGAAAATGAGTGATTTAAAGAGTTGATGGACTAAAGCCATATGGTATATTTATTGTTTTAAATTTGTGCTTGTTGTAGTTGTATTGTTTTAGACAGATCTTGAGAATTTGCAAACCTGACATAAGCTGATCAGTGGAAATAACATATTCAAAATGTGTACAGTTACAATATGCAGTATATAGCACACATATAGAACTCATGGTAAATACTGTATAGTATATAAAATCTGTCATATAATATGTAATGTTTGAAACTGTTTCCCTGTAAGTTGTAAGACGAGCTCCCCGTGTAATTAAATAACTGCATCTATTTTTGTGTTATCAATCACAAATGAGAAACATACATTTTTATAAATGGTATGTGTACTCATGTCATTGTAAAAAAATCCTAGAGTTAAAAATTTCCTAGATCTAATTGTTTGAGAACATTTGAAAACTGTAGCATTATTTTGCTTATGAAAAAAAAGCGTATATGAGAATCTTAAAACTATTAACATGGTGCTAACAAATGTTTTTGCCTCTTGCTACTTCCCTCCCCACTTTAATCAGTTTTTTTTGTTGCTGTTGTTTGTTTGTCTTTGTGGCTGGCTCAGCTGGCATGGCATATGGTGCTGGGGATTGAACCATGGTCCCTGCACTTACCTAAGCTTGCCTAAGCAGGCACTTTAGACCACTGAGTGATCTCACCGGCCCATCTCTTCAATCAGTTTGGAATTAGAACCCCAATGATAATTTGGCTTAGTCCATGCAAATTATAAGAGATGGAGTTCAATTCTCCTTCATCAGGAAAAAGGCCTTTGAATCAGATTTAAATTGCTTCATGAGATGTCACTGTTGAGTGTTGCAACAAGTGTTTTCAGGCTATTCTACTCAGCGAGGGACCTGGATCAGTCACTGGACAAAGCATCATGTTTGAGTCCCTCCCCATGATCAGCATCTGTGGTATAGGAGCAAATTCGTAGGAAAAGCCACCAACTCTAATGAGTGGATATACTCTTCCAGACAACACAGGTGTCCATTTGTTGGCCCCGCCTCACATTTTCCCTCATACCCTGTATGTCTGTCAGCACTACTTGTCCAAGACTTTAGAGTCAGCTGAATTCTTTCCATCTGTTGTTCGCCCAAACTATTTCTGTGCAGGACTAGATAGCATAATAGTTCTCTTGGTTTGTATTATCCCTCTCTTCTACTGTGGCAGGCATACAAATTAACCTAAGGATCCAATATCCAGAAGACATATCAAGAAGGGCCAGAATTCAAATATTTCCTTTATATTAATGAAGTCTGTTAAACCTTTTCTCAGACTCATTTGACATCAAATGTGTAGTAAGAAAGTAGTAAAGGATTCCCAATTCTTCCTCCTTCTATATTTTGGAAAAATTGTCTGTTCTGTTCACCAATTCATTCAAGAGTGTACAGGAATCTTACCTGTCTAGATGTTTTTAGCTCTATTTGTTTGGTAAATATATAATAATTAAGGTGATAGGATATATATTCTAAACTGCAAATGGATCCCACTTGAGTTTAGCAGCTGAAAGAAAACTTACCAGTGTTGTAATGCTTTGTGCAGTAGCCAAGTTCCTTCTCTTCTTTCAGAATAAATTGGGGCAAGGTCAGTCCTTCAGCCACTTGCACTGGACCATCACTTAACCATTCAAATATCAGATCATTCATTGTGTATCCAACTAGAGTGAGGACATTATAGTGGAAAAAGTGAATGCATCATGTCAAGAAGACTTGGAAGTCTATATAAAGAAACAGGAACATTTTCTAAAGCGGACATATGCTCAATCATTTCAAAAGCATTCTTAATATGAGAGTTGGAGCCCAGGAAATTGAAGAGAGAAACTAATTTTGTATTATTACTTTTGTGTATAATGGAAGAATGGAATTTATAAAGTCTGTTTTCTTCTGCCACTTTATTCACTCTTTCCAAAGAACAAATAAGTAAACAAACATAAAAATCATTTTAAGATTGTATTTGGAAGATCGGTGTCTGTGGCAATCCAATAAGACAATTTAATTCATGGAGCCAGTCTTGGTATTTCAAATGAAACCATTTTTTTAAATAAGAATGAATTCATCAGAGGTCTGCTTAAAACATTCCAATTGCAAAATTGGCCCCTCTCCTTGGGTCTATTAGATTTTACTTTCAGAAAACTTACATTAAATATTTATGCTTGAGCCAGGGAGATAGTTCAATGGAATATATGCTTCCCTGGCAAGCTCAAGGGCCTGAGTTCAATAACCAGTTCCACCAAAAAAAAAAAAACAAAAAAAAACAAAAAAAAAAAACTCTCAATTATGTTAGCTCTTGGGAAAAGCTGTAACCAGGTAACCTAAGAAGTGATAGGATAGGCAAATCAACAATATGAGTTTGTATTAATGTTTTGCTAAATAGGCTTACTCATTACAATTATTATTATGGAGTAAAATAGATTATATTTTCTGTAAAGTCTTATTGTTGCAGGTCTTGAGCCATCCAAATTAAAATAATTTGTAAACCAAAGTGCTTCTGCATCTTACTCCATACCAAAAAAACACAAAAATGACAGCTGCTCTTTTAGACATTATTTCTCTGCCCCCACTTTTGTTTGTGATACTTGAACTCTTAAAATGATACTGATAATGACAAAGAATATTATGGAGGTTTTGGCTGACCAGTAAACTCACCATGGTAATTAAAAGTAAAGATTCATTTACTTGTTTAGTGTGAGCAAATGACTCACTAAAGCTACCCAGAAATCATTGGCAAAGTTAATTGGAGTCTACTTTCTACTTTTAAATTTTTTTTTAATTCTTAAAGACAATTAAAAAATTGTAACAAAGAAAGCAACCATGAGAAATGATACAGATTTTCACTTAACAAAATAATAGGAATTCAACAATGGTTGTTACATTGCATATTGTTGTCTTCAAATTAGTTGTTCAGAATACCAGGCATAAGAATGAAAAATTGATCCAAGAATTATAAAAACTTAAAAAAAGAGAAAAAATATAAGGATTAACTGCAGAAATCAGCAGTATAGTTATCCAAGCTAGCCTGTTTGTTTACATATATATTTCTCTTTGTCTTCCTTATGGCATTCTTTTCTCCTTTCCCTCAACCCAGTTGTTCCTTTGATCACCTTTTAAATTCAAAGCCAAAAAATAAAACATGGAAATCTAGGAATCCCAAAGAGGATCCTTTGATGGTTCATAAAGAGAACAACTAAACCTCTCTCTTACACTGCAACTCAGGATGAGTACATCTGGGGTACCTCCAACAAATATCTAAAGCTTACCAAGTACCCCAAGGCATTCTCTCCTAAGCTTCTCTCTGACCACCACATGATAGTCCTTGACTGACTCATAAAGCCTCGATATAGCCCAGACAGGAAAGATAAAATGGTGAGAAAGCAGGAGATAATATTGGGGTAGAAAAATAAAGTGTTTTCTACCTTGTGCACCTGAACTTAGTAATAAGCACACAGCTGATTCTTTGATATTATTTCTATAAAGAGCAAGTATATTCACTAATTGAAGGTTTTTCAAAGTTTTAAATGAGATTCACTTTACAGAAAGAAACAGAAGTATTGGGTTGAGAGAGGGGAGAGTTTGGAGTAATAGAGAAAGACACGAAGAAGGAATCATTATGTAAAAAAGTGTTTTCTCAACCTTCTTAAGAGAGGGGGCAATAGAGAAAACAATGAATACATAAAACCTATTATAAATCACAAATTCTCATTTTATTCCTGACAGCTTCTTAAAACAAAGGTGTTTCATTATTTTATTTGTGTGGGAAGTTTCAAAGGAAATCTTTAGTGATTTTAAAAGATGAGAAAAAAACTCTGTCACCATGTCTTTTTAAAAGATAATAGTTGATGTGTCTTTCTATAGTTATTATTTTTCTAAGCCAAGAAGTTAAATGTGGGGCTGGAAAAATAGCTCAGTGGACTAAGCACCTACTTAAGCAAACACAGGGACCAGGTTTTGATCCTTAGCACCATGTTTTGTGCTAGCCCCACCCTTGGATTTGCTGAGCCAGCCACCAGAGACTGGGCATGGTGGTGCATGCCTGTAATTTCAGCTCTGGGGAGGCTGAAAATAAGAAAAACACTACAAGTCTGAGCTGCATAGTAAGACCCTGTAACGAATACATTAAAAAAAAGAATTTAAAAATATTTCTTTGCCCCTATCTCACTAAATCTCCTAACATCCCTGTAGATCAGTAGTACTTATTATTGTTTTTATTCTGCAAACACAGAAAATAGACAGACAAACATTGTACTGTGTCCTTAGTGTGAGATCCTGAAAAAAAATGGAATCAGAAGGGTATAATAGATACTTGGAAAAGGGAATGAACTTATTCAAAAGGAAAGAGCAACTGAGTTGAGGAGAAGGACAGTAGGAGTGGGGGAAAGTGATTTATCTATGTACATAAGCAGGATGGTTTGGACAACTGTACTGTGCATTTCTGCTGGTATATGGAAAGGAACAGATAATACTTAATTTGTTTTGCATCCTTGTTTCAATTGATGGTACTTTTCTTAATTTCCTATGCATTTCTTTTTTCTTTTTCCAATTTTACATACATATATCTGGTAATATAAATAACTGGCTGGAAGACAATACTATGTATTACAACAAATTCTGTGAAGTTCATATTATTTTGTTAAGTGAAATTCTGTATCACTTGTAATTTTTCTGTTTTAATTTTAATGTGTACTCTCTTTAAAAAATACAAAATGGAAGAAAACAGACAGAAAAAGCCAGGAAAAACTATGTGTATCTGAACTAAAAATTCCATTACCTTAGAGACATCAGCAATATATGTTATATTTCAAAGATTTCTGTGGCATTAGGGCTAGGAATGGAAGTGAACAAAGTGGATGACATTTCCCTACCTCCTTCTCTATACCTTCATACATCTATTGCTTATCTAAGGCAGATATCTCTTACTTTGTCTTACCCTTTTTTTCCCGGAACTGGGGATTGAACTCAGGCCCTTGCGCTTGCCAGGGAAGCGCTTATTCCACTGAGCCATCTCCCTGGCCCGTTATGTGTCTTTTTCTATCTCATCTCTTCTACCTTGTTTTTGACCTCTGCTGACTATGGCCTTGTTTTTTATTCTCAAAGCAGTTATCCCTTCCTGCCAGAATTCCCTTGGGGATGATTGTCTATATGGCCAAAAGACGGAAAGAAATAAAATTACCTCAGTAAAGACTGATTCATTTTAAAGATTGAATGGCTAATAAACTTAATTTTCCCAGGAGACATTTTCATTTCAAAGAAAAATTTACTAAATCAGGCTTTTTTTTAAAAAAAAAGAGAGGGCAAGCATTTAGAATTTTAGAATGAAGGGTTGTTTATATTGTATTCATAATGAGCTTCTCCAATGAGACGTGTGCACAACATTTGTTCATTTGGAATTAGGACCTTGTGTGCTGATAAAGAGATAGAGAATGAGTCTTATGAGTCTTTAGTCCTTAATGATACACTAAAGGAACAAAGTAATTCTTTAAAGCAAGCAGACAGTCATATCAGCAGTGGCTACTTACAACTCTCCAGCTGCATTGTACAGGTCTGAACATCCATTGGAAAGTTCTTCAAGTCCATGGGACAGGATAAGGTCAAGGTGAGTCTTACCAAGAAAAAATGTAAAAATAAATTTTAAATCTTGAGTTTTCATTTTTGAGAAAAAAACAAAAATCCACTTGTCATTAAACAAAATATATTGATTTAAATACTGAAATCTGAGGGCTGGCGGGTTAGCTCAGTTGTATAAAGCACCTTCCTAAGCAAAATCATTCATTGGCAAGGGACTGTGGTTCAATCCCCAGCACCACATGCCACACCAGACCTGCTCTTAAGGTAGCCTGAGACAGCTAAAAAAATCATTTTAAATACTGAAATCTAAGCTCTCACTCAAGGCATTGCTTTTCAAATAACATTTAGTCATTGGTAATTTAAAAAATATATTGTAGTATTTTACCAGAGCTCCTTAATCTCTATTTCCCATCTTCTAGCCTTTGACTCTGTCTCCATTCCCCTGCCCCCACCAATTGAGCTTGTTATAAGTTTATGTTAGATTGAGCAAGGCCACCAAAAAATGCTGTAATGTGAACAATGTGCTCTTATCCACACTGATGTCCAAAGGACATCAGGTTTATACCATTTTAGAGTTATTCTCTGGGTACATGAACTTTGCATCAAGAGAAATAAATGATATGATAAGCATAAATGATTATGATAAGCATTGATTCCCCTTTATTTAAATGGGTCCCTATCATTCTAAAGTTCAGTGCTACAAATTCTTTTCATTGTATCTCAAACACTTCAATATTCTAAGACCATTCCGATGATTATACTATCACCTAAATTCTCTTTTACTGTTCTGCTCAGTTTTACTCTCCCTTCCTGATTATTTCCCCTCTATTCACTTCCTCTGTTTCATATTCTATTCATTTGTGCCACACATTTATTTTATTGAGAAACAAATAGCAATGAGACAGTTTCAAAATTGATTAATAGGACAGTTTCAATAATTAATACATTGTACATTGTTATCTTCTTAGTGGTTATCCATAGTACAAGATGCAGACAGGATATCCTGTCCAAACACTATTAGTTCAAATCTTTCTTCTCAGTGAATTAAGTGAAAATAGCTGTAATCTATCCTAACTATTCTGCATATACAGATACAAAATGGTCCTTCCTTTGTATCCCCTTTTTTTGTTTAGTCCTGTCAGAAATGCATATTCCATTGGCATCTAAATATTATAGGTGCATGGATTCAGCAGAACAATCCAACACAGTCCATCAGTCCACAATAGTAGTGAGTTATCCACAAAAGTTGTTGACTTAAGCCTTTCACAGCTCAGCATATTAATATGCCTTTACTTTTTAGACCTCATTTTTATACTTTTCTGCTGGATGGTTAAGACCAAGATAAAGCAAGACCTGTATAATAATAAATGTAACTTTTGTATCTGATAAGGTCAGTCAAGTCCCCTCAGGATTTATCCTGTAACCCTGTACTACAGTTTGTAGATACTTTGTCAGTGTCAGCCATGTGGACGAGTCATGGCCATTCCTTGACCAATTTGCTCACTGCTGGTGGGAATGTCGACTGGCACAACCATTATGGAAGTCAGTATTGAAACGTGTTAAGAAACTAGGACTGAAAATCTCATTCAAGTCAGGTATCCCTCTACTGGGAATTTTCCTGGAGGAACTTAAAACATTATATCATAGTGATATATGTACACCTATATTTATAGCAGCACAATTTGTGATAGCCAAATCTTGGAAACAAGCAAGATGCCCTTCAACTGAGGAATGGTTGAAAAAGATATGGTATTTTTGTACAATGGATTATTACTCAGCTATAAAGAATGACAAACTTGAAGCATTTATATTTAAGTGGATGCCACTTGAAGATATACTCATAAGTGAAATAAACCAGACACACATGTGTAAATATTGTATAATCTCCTTAGTATAAGAAATCAAAAGAAGACCTACAAATAGAAGGGTGTAACACAATTAAAAGGAAAGCTAGAACTTGAGGATTGGACAATGAGGAGAGGAAAAGGAGAAAAGCTGGAAAACAGGACAGGGAAAAAGCCATACATTTGTACGCAGAAGATGGGCAAGGTAGTGATCCTGAGAAACATCAGCAGGCTTTTGAAACTAGCAGTTAATTGGTAGGATTCTCACCCTGACTAACTATACATGCTGATACCTGTGAATCAAACAACTGCACTGAAGATAGAAATGTGTAATAGAAGGGTCACGCTTGGAATGCCTGTCATTCTGGTCTTCTAAATACGTACTTCTTGTCATGACATACCAATTACTGTCATACTGTCTCACAAGTAAAAGTTGTTTTTTTGTTTTTTTTAAATGGGTAATAAATGAAAAAAGACACAAGCAAAAGAAAAAAAAAGTCACTGGGCTGTCCTGCTACAATGCTGTATATGGTTAGATGGGCCACACATTTTGAAAAAATGGTTAAATTTGAAATGAGATTAGACAAAGAATCCATGCTGACAATCTTCAAAGTCACTTGAAATACAACAGTGAGTGAGTGGGAACAAGACAAAATGCAGTGCAGCATGATCACAATTACAAAGAAACACACCACTATATTAAGAATAGATATTGTGGGGCCGGGGAGATGGCTCAGTAGAATAAGCGCTTGCCTGGCAAGCCCAAGTGTCTGAGTTTAATCCCCGGTTCCGCCCCCCCCAAAAAAAACAGATATTGTGGTTAGTCGAATGATTCGTATTTTGCTTTTATTTTATATGCTACATTGTCTATATTGACAAGCATAGGTTATTTGGTAATGTTCATAAATATATTTATCTGTTTTTATCTTTATGTAATTAAATATACTTTACCTCAGATAATGGCTGAAAGATAAAGTTACAAGTTATATTTTATTCATAATATTTTTGCTATTATAATCTTATTAAATAATAAATATTTCACTTTCACTGTTAAACAAATTAACTATTTGTGAGCTGTTCTGAGAAGCCAAACACCATGATTCTAAAAAAATGGTTTTGAATTTTAAACAACTGACTTAAAATAACACTTTAGACAAGGTAAATAATTTTTGTCAGTTGTGGAGTTCATTTGTAGAAATAGGTATAAATATATATCTTAATTAGCTTTATATTATTAGTCCATGTGTGTTAATAAATTATAACATCATTTTGCTTCACATAACAATATACATAACATCACAGCATCATTTTGTTTCCCATAATAATATACATAACTATAACTTGTCAATTTGTAACTCAAAAAATTAAAATAGGCCTATCACATAAAAATAATCAAATAGTTTGTAGGTAATTTTAGTGACTCAGAATAGAAAAATTTGAAAATTTCAGTATAATTTTGTAAACTCTACCTTTGAGAAATTAAAAAATATTAATATGAAATATTTTATTCTATTTTGTTTTATTTTTTGTTTTTTAGGGAAAGGTCCACAGGGTGTTCAGGGTCTCAGTACTAGATCAGACTTGTAGTGATCCGCCTGTTTACATCCTCCCAAAAGCTGGGATTACAGGTGGGTGCCATCTTGCCCAGTCTCATCACTCTCCCAGTGTGCTGGGGGGTGGGACCAGCATGGCAGGCCCGGGAATCAAACCCCAAGCCCATGTGCCTGCTTGCAGGCAGTCTAATCTGCTAAGCTATTTGGCCAGTCCCATAAATAGTTTAAACTGCAAATGAATACAGCTTAAAGAACACATGGCACAGAATTCTACTATATAGTATTTGCTAATGGAAACAACTTAATTTTAGTATGACTAATCATATGCTGAGTTTAATGAACTTTCACATGTATTTGATGAGCAGCATCCTCACAACACTGTTTTATTTTATTTTTTTTAATTATTTATTTGTGTATGTGTGTGTGTGTGTGTGTGTGTGGCCAGCTCAGCCCGCCAGGGGGCGGGGCTGGCTGGCATGTGGTGCTGGGGGATTGAACCGTGGTCCCTGTGCTTTGCTAAGCTTGTTCTAAGTAGGTGCTTTAGACCACTGAGCCATCTCACCAGCTCCACACAACACTGATTTTAGAAGCTTCTTTTGTGGCAGATAAAACAATCTTTCAGGGAGTCAGAACTTTTGGGGAGTCAAAATTATTAACAGCATTGAAGATGCCACTAAAAACAATTCACGAAACTATCCCTGAATCTTGTCTAAGCTGAGAACTCAGTGATAGTTTGCTCCCTTGTCTTTCTAATTTTCTTCCCAGATATTTTGCATTGCAATTCAGTGACTAACAATGATAAAGAAGAGAGTTAAGAGCTCTGCAGTTTGTTGAATCATTTCATCACCTGAGCAAATCAGAAGAGATTGTAAAGATTTAATTGGTCCTGTATGAGCTGCAAGCTCATAGTTTATGACATGAAGTTTACCATATATCTAAACATACATCTAAAAATCTAGATTTTCCCATTTTCACTCGCAGTGTACATTAAGTACAGAAAAGTAAACAAATATAGAGTTATAGCAAAATGATTTTTAAAATCTATATTCACCCACGTGCTAAGCATTCAGAACCAGATTTATAATATTCCCATCATTCCATAATATTCTCTTGTGCTTTTTTCCTAGTGCAGAATTCCCCAAAGTAATGCCCATCTCATTTGTTTTTAAGGCTATTTTATGATTTGAAAAATATGAATTTTGAGGGGAAAACTTTGGTATTATTTCGTATATAGGTTTTTTTTTTTTGAACCAGGTATTGGACTCAGGCCCTTGCACTTGCTAGGGAAGTGCTTATTCCACTGAGCCATGTCCTTGGCCCTATTTTGTATATAGATGCCAAAATTACACCAAGCAGGACTACTCTTCACAATAATACAAAAAATGTAAACATTAATTTTACTTTGACCTAGCTCTCCATTTTTCTGTGTTCTTTTTCTTTTTTTCTTCTTTCTTTCTTTCTTTTTGAGGAAGTAGGCATCGAACTTAGGCCCTGGCACTAGCCAGGGAAGCGCTTATTTTACTGAGTTATCTCCCTGACCCTCCTCTCCATCTATTTTTAGTGAATCTCACAGAATTAAATATTTTAATTAAGAAGCCAGTATTCCAGATTTGCCTGGAAATTCAGACATCTCACTG